AGAAAAACAGAAAAATACATCATGACTTTTCTGATGACCCAATATTTGTATTACTCTCTATACATCATTTTGACTAATAGTATCTTATAGTATCTTATCTTTGTCCTTTTTTCACTTGTAATTTATCATTTACATATAATTATTGAATATCTTTGTGGGGTCGGTATGGCTTTTAAAAAGCACATATACACTGTGTAATACTCAAGTCAAGAATATACACATATTTGCCATCTTTGACATTTATTATTATATTATGCTGTAGATATTTGGAAATTCATTCTATTGGGGATTTTTGTAAGTATGTATGAAATAGTCAATGACATTTATACTCTACTGTGGTACACTGTTCCATGACTTATTTCACTTGTTTACATGCATTTTTTTAATATTAACCAATTTCCTCTCAACTGCCCCCTAACCACTGCAGCTTCAAGTATCTGCCATTACTTTCTCTATTTCTATGCCATCACGTCCTTTTGCTTCTGCTAATGAGTGAGGACACTCAGTATTTGTTAAATAAGGATGTGCTATACTTGTCTGTCATAGCCTGGCTTATTTCACTTAACATTATATTTTCTAAGTTCATCCACTTTGTCTCTAATGACAGAAGAGCATTGTTCTTTATGACTGAGTAGTATTCTATTGTGTATGTATGCCGCATTTTCTTTATTCAGTTAATGTTATTGGGATTCTGAACTGAATTTCCTTATAATAAGGGAAGTTAAACACTTTTTCATATGGTTTTAGCCATTTGAATGCTTTCCTTTTGAAAGTCATCTGTTCAGATGGATTGTCCATTTTTTTTTTCTAGGTTTTTGTCATAGAGCATGTGCACTCACCAGAGAAACAAAGTATTTAAAAGAACCAAATGTAAGAAACCCTTACAAGCCTATTTTGTGAGGCCACCATCACTTTGATACCAAAAACTGACCAGGACACAACAATGAAAGGAGACTGCAGACTAATGTTCCTGATGAATATATAGGCACAAAAATCATCAACAAAGTATTAGGAAATTGAGTCCAACAACACATCAAAAAAATTATACATCATGACCAAGTAGGGTTCATCCCAGAGATGCAAGGACTGTTTAACATAGAAGAAACAATACATGAGATACATCACATTAACAGGAGGAAATATAAAAATCATATGATTATATTAATCCACAGAAAAAACATTTGATACATTTGATACAAAAGCATTTGATACAACATCCCTTCATGATTAAGACTTCTATCAAAATATAGAGGATACCTTTCTTTCTTTTTTAAAAAAAAATTGCCAGAGGGCACATGTGCTTATTAGAAAGTGAAAGAAAGAGGGAACCAGCAGTTAGTGTAATGGCTATGTCGCTGGACTCCCACGCAGTCAACCGCAGTTCGCGTCCCGGACCCGGTGGCTTAAAATTCATGCCGGGCGCGTGTGCGTGCGTGCCCAAGATCCCGAGAGGAGAATGGAGGAGAAGGGACTGTGGCGTGACCATCCCCCCTGGGGGGGTGATTTCTCACTTTCTGTCTCTATGTCTCTCTTTGTCTGGCGAGCGCATGCACCCTATAGCGAAAATCTCTCCAAAAAAAAAAAAAAGAAAAAGAAAGAAAGAAAGAAAGAAAGAGAAAGTGAGAAAGTGTTTTCCCATGGAGCATGGACTGCAATTCCTAGTTCTCTTGTTCTCTCTCCTTTTGGGATTTTGGACACACATACACATACCTTTGCCATGTTTCTCAAGTTGCCAGGTTCAGGACTTGAACCACTCAGCTGGCCAGGTAGAACCTAGTTACCATAAGCTGGCCCAAAAGTACACTTCTTCACAATAAAGGTGATATATGACAAACCCACAGTTACCATCATACTGAATAGGGAAAAGTTTAAATCTTTTACTCCTAAAACTGGAACAAGACAAGAATGTCCAATTTCTCCACTCCTATTCAATACAGTACTAGAATGATATCCTAGCCAATGATATCAGGCAAGACAACCAAAAAATAATAATAATAATGGAAAGGAGGATGCAAATTGTCCCTATTCACAAATGATATGATTATATATATATCAAAAAATTAAAGAATCCACCAAAAAACCTCTTAGATATGATAAATGAATTCAGTAAAGAAGTAGGATATAAAATCAATATACGAAAACCTGTAGTGTGTTTGTACCACAATGAATGGAACTGAAACAGAAATGAAGAAAATAATCCCATTTATAATACACACACACACACCGATTTGTCCTTTGCTCAATATTCCTAAATATATATCCCAGAACCAGGAGAGAGACAATCTAAGATTAAACAGTGATCATAAACCACAAAGTAAATAATTCATAGTAATATTTTCACTGAAACGATAAGATTTATGTTACTATATCTAATGGTAAGCTATGTTCACATTAAAATCATCCCTATTGTATGCCAAATCCATATTAGATGCTTCAACACCTCTACCTCCATGTTCACAGCCTTTGCTACATAGTAAACTCGGACTTACTGTTTTACTTGCCCAAATTTGATCTAGTTTACATTCTAGACTGTAAACATCTCAAGAAGGCAAGGTGGTTCTTGTGCCAAGCACTAAGCTGACCAGCTAAAAGGAACATACTAGATGCATATTGACTTCTATATGAACCAACTCTAAAACATTAGTTCATAGCTTGGATATCCAAGTGCCATACTAATTAAATATTACTTTATAGAACCATCTTAATTAGTCAGCTATATGGTTTTTCTTATATTTTCTCAAAACAATGAAGTTTTATTTTATTCTCTAGTGTCTAGGATTACTTTTTTAAAACCAGAACTGACAATAAGAATAAAAACTTGGGGGGCTGGCAAGTGGCGTGGTGGTTGGGGACGCTGGACTCCCACATGGCTGACCACGATTCAAGTCGCGGGCCTTGTGGCTTGCTTTCTCACTTCCTCTCTCTCTCTCTCTCTCTCTGTCTCTCTCTGATCAAACTGGAACACAAATAATAATAATAATAATAAATAAAGTTAAATAAAATAATTCTTAAAAACAAAATTGGGGCCAGCCTCATAACCAATTAGTTAAAAAGAGTCAGATCTCACACGGCTAAAGGCAGTTCAAATCCTGGCTCTAGCAGCTTGAAAAACATGCTGGGCACCTATGCGTGAGTGCTCCAAATCATTAACAATTGGCTCAGTTTATTTCTGAGGCCAACTAAATACCCGAACTTGAAATTCTCACATGTCATTAGGATAATTCCCAAGTTTTGTTATTGTTAGCTTAAGTAATTCTCCATTATTTTCTATTAAAATAATATTAACACTTACATGTAAAGTAACAGTTTGCCTCAACTAATACAAAACAAATTTTAAGTAATAGTTAATGATCTTTCCAAATTAAAAAAAAATTGTAGCTTTTCAAGGACTTTTAAGTAATTACTAAAAATATGAAAGATTCTATGAATAAAGTTAGATGAAATAGATACCTCATGATCACTATTAAGAGGGGGAAAAAAGGGTGCAAGCAGGTGGCATAGTGGTTAAGGCACTGGACTCCCACATGGCTGACTATAGTTCAAGTCCTAGACCTGGTCGCTTGAAAATCATACTGGGCGATGCATGTGTGTCTGCCCAAAATCCCAAGAAGAGAACACAGAAGAAGGGATTGCAGCCTGGCCATCCCCCCAGGGGGTGATTTCTCTCTTACTTTCTCTCTCTTTCTCTCTCTCTCTCTCTCTCTCTCTCTCTCTCTCTCTCTCTCTCTCTCTCTCTCTCTCTCTCTCTCTCTCTCTTCCCAGTAAGCACATATGCCTTATAGCAAAAATTTATCATTTAGGAAAAAAAAAAAAAAGAGGGACCAAAAAAAAGCATATCCAAGTCAATCTAAGCTGTTTTAGTTGCCTTCAAGATTTTAAAGCAAAAATCCTTATATCTACAAAAGGAGATCTCTAGTTTCTCCAATACACTTAAAGGTAAAGTGAGAAAAATTAATTACATGTATTTTAAATTTCTCCCAGTTCTTGAAAAGAAGAACATTTGTTCCACCCTCCCCTAGCACAGTCACTTTGATTATGAATTCATTATCTAAGTCTACATATATTTCATGGTAGTTTTGGCATCACTGGAGACATTCCGCCACGTGTCAACATTGCTTCCTTCAGGTTCTGCGCAAAGGGAGAGTAATGGAAAAGCTGTACTTTTGTCTGAAGAGTCTTGCCCTCCTTTTCTCATGTTTCTTCACCTACCCCAGGCCTCTATCTTCTTCATTTGGGGATCCATTTCCCAAGCCTGCAATTTAGGGTAGAAGGGATGGGAGGAGGGGCTCGGATTGTGGTGAACAGCTGGGGCCCATCACTTCTCATTGCAGGTCTTGGGGAGATGTGGTTGACAGAGTGATGCACAGAGCCTGTCCCAGTTAATGACTTCACCATTCTCCATCATTATCCCCATCATTAGGAAATTAGGAGGACAGAAGGTATTTACTGTAAACCTGCCACCTCCCAAGGAGAGATAAATAGAAACTGATAAATGGGCTCTTCTGGTGCTGTTCGTCTATTAACCTTCTGCTTCCCAGCTCCGGCATATGCATGCCATCCTGCCATTAATATCCAGTAATTGGCATGGCAGCGGGCAATACAATCATACCTTTACTGTGAGCGTCCCCTCCGTGTGGTGTGCCTGTGCAAGCACACAATTATGTTCATAATGAAGCTTTGCTAAACAGTCCGGGTGAAAGACATTAGGCAGTTGTTCCCCAGCTATAATGCCAGCCTCCCATAGTCATTCAGGCCTTAACTCTTCAGTAGCCTGAGCACTGGCGGCCATTGCTAATCTTTCTGCCATCTTCACACACTTTCTGTCATCTTTGCAGACATTCCATACAGTCACCTGCTTTTTGGTTTTCCTCTTTTTTAAAAAACAAACAAACAAACAAAAAAACCCAACTCTTTCTTAACACGGTACTCCTTGGAAGCAAAGGCATAGCCAGCCTATGAATGATTTGGAACTGCCTTACCTGACTGACCGACTGCCTGGCATGAGGGTAGCTAAGAGTTTCATCCATTTTGCAGCCACCGGTGACCACCTGGGGCGATTTGTCACGTGAGAACCAAGCTGTTTTTCAGCATTTCCCAAGAAGATTTTGCATTCTTTAGCACATTCCTAAATGCATAAGGAGGAGAAAGGATGTATTTCTTTAAATTTATTCTGTACGATAACAGAACAGACAGGAGGCCAATGACCTTGGCTCTTTATATTAGGAAAGACACCATCCTCAATGTTCATTTGCTCAAAACACTTGGGGATTTTGAAGGAGCACGAATCCCAGGAGATCTTAAAAGAGCTCACAGAAAACCAAGACCTACAAAGAAAGCCACCTCATTCTGTTATCCATCTGCTCACACTGGCTGCAAAATGAACATTTGGTCTCTGCTTCCCTGACCTATTTATCCCCCAGTTAAATTCCAGTGTTTACTAGGAAGACTTTACAATAGTGACTGCAGTGGGCAGACTGTTTCACAGGATGAAACACAAAAAGCAAAGATGAGTAATTCCTTAAAAGCATAGGACAGGTTCTAAGAAATGAATCAAGCTGGTCCTAAACACGGCCCCCAAGGAAAACAACAACAAAAAAGGCAGCTGCAAGGGGGAGGTGAAGTTGGGGAGAGGTACTATCAGCAAAGAGATAAAAAGCAATAAAAAGACTGGGAAGAAAATGACATGACAACCTTATTACTGGTGTTCAGGAACCATAGCCTCTCTGTCAGAAAAATACCAGATCACCCATTTGAGAACTTCATAAAACTAAATGATCAATAGATTATGGCTCTGGCCCTCCTTCCACACAGCATAAAACAAATAATAATATCTCCAATAAATATAACAAATAGGGCAATCTTTCCCATCTCCTGCAGACCCCTGACAGAACATGCTACAAGATCTTTTCATTTCTTCTTCAGAAGGATACTAAGCAGCTTGCCAGACTCCCAGTCAAGCACGGCCTTTCCAGCTGTCTCCCAAGCATCCACCTTTAAATATAGAACCTGGATATAGCTGGGCAGCCTGGCACTCCTGGAGGCTTTCATTCAGCATAATACGGAGGGCAAACCCTCTGTCAGTCAGCATCCTGTTAACTAAAACTCCCCAGGCACTGACACCCAGCACACGTCTCTCGCATAATTATAAATAATGTTTGTAATGACTCAATGGCAGGCTAAGAGCCAGGTGGGAGGTCTGCCTCTCACCACTCCCTACTTCCACGCACTGTCGTTTACACAGCACTCTCATGATCTCTGCTGGTTCACAACAAAGTCGCACACAGGGGTTAAGGGATGATACTGGCTCCTATTGCACAACTGTGGAATGAAGACTCAAGAGAAAGTGACTCCCCTCTTTCCCCTAGCCAGGACCCAAGCCTTCTTTCCTCTTCAGGGCTGCTGCATTGCCAGCTGCAGCAGGCCCCATTCCCACTGTATTCTGTGAAGAGCATTCCTGGAGCTGGCAACACAGCCAGTCTTAGAAGCAGCACAATACAGTAAAAACAGGAAGGCTGCTGGGATCAGGTATCTGGTTTTACCACTGACTAGCTGCATTATCCTAGGTAAATTTTAAATTTCGTCTTATTTTTAGTTTCCTCATCTATGAGTTAGGGTGATAATAATCATCCTTACTTCATATGTATAATATCTATGTTGTTATATACTATTACTACACGCCAACTTATAAAAGATACTTCCTAGGACATTTCCTTCTCTTCCTCTTCTTACTTGTTATGGACACTTTACCAGCCTCTTTAATTCAGGAACAATTCATGAAAATATATCTTTCAACATTTCCGCTCTTAGAAATTGGTAGATGATGTAACATAATGGTGACTTCCCTTTTGATAACTAGATAATACTCTAGTATGTTTCCAAAAGCTTCTGGAAAAATATAGAATAAGATTTACTGGAGTGTTTTATTCCCATGACATATCGGATTAATTTTTTTATTATTTTAATTTATTTTATACATTTGATCACTGTACATCACTACAGCTTGTAAAATGAATTTACCAAACATGAGTAATATTTTTATCTGATGATCCCAGGTTGCCCAAAGAGGGAAAAAAAAAATCTCTTTTTCATTTTTTCCAATGTATTGTAGAACATACACAAAGTTGTTATAGGCTCTTACCATTGACTTAGTTATAGTCATGGGATATATGTGCACAACATAAATAAAAATACAGTGTAAAACACTTTTTTTTTTATTTTTTTTTGCTATAGGGCATGTACACTTGCCAGAAAGACAGAGAGAGACAGAGAGTCAGAAAGCGAGAAATCACCCTGGGGAGATGGCAATGCTGCAATCCCCTCCCCTCCATTCTCCTCTAGGGATTGTGGGCACACACACACATGCATCTGGCGTGAGTTTTTAAGCCACGGGGTCCGGGACTCAAACTGCGGTCGACTACATGGGAGTCCAGCGACATAACCATTACACCAACTGCTGGCCCCAGAAACCACCTTATAATTCTCCTGCCAACCTTGCCACAAGAAATTTCTCTGACTTTCCTTTACTTGGTACTGATTTACCACCATGTAGGTCCACTCTTTTGAGAGTATCCTTCTCATCCACCTTTCCTCTCTGAGTCAAGACGTTTACAGTCCCACTTTGCAACATTACAGTTGACAATGCCAAAATCCCCAGATTGTTTGTATTAGGCAGAATATTTAGTTCTCTGGGTTTCATCCCTCCCTTTTCAAACCATACTCAGGCTCTCCTTATTTAGAATTCCCATTTGAGCACAATACTAATTTTCTCTACCCAGAAGCTTTTAGAAATATATGAAAGTGGGACCAGCAGTTAGCATAATGGCTATGTCAACCGTGGTTTGAGTCCCGGACCCGGTGGCTTAAACTCATGCCAGGTGCATGTGCATGCGTGCCCAAGATCCCGAGAGGCGAATGGAGAAGGGATTGCAGTGTGGCCATCCTCCCTGGGGGGTGATTTCTTGCTTTCTGTCTCTCTGTCTCTCTCTGTCTGTCTGGCAAGTGCACATGACCAATAGCAAAAACCTCTCAAAAAAAAAAAAAAGAAATATATGAAAGCATTTTCTAGTTATCCAAATAAGAGCACCCAAGTTTGGCAGGATAGCAAGACTTATAATCCATATGCAAAAACTAACTGTATTTCAACACACTACTAATAACATTCTGATATATCCTCTTATTCAAAAATAGTAAAATACTTATCAATACACATATACCATGTACAATGCATGTGCTAATAACTATAAACATTGCTGAAGGAAATTAAAGAAGAATTAAGTAAGTGGGAATATATTTCATGTTCATGGATTTGAAGACTCAATATTGCTATGATAAAGTACTTTTCAATCTTATCTGTGGATTCAATGCAATCCCTATCACTATCCGATCTCCTTTTTGCAAATATCAACATAATCAAACCTAAAGTTAACATTTTAAGGAAATCAAAATAGTCTGAACAACCTTGAAAAAAAAAATTGGATGACTCATGCTTTTGAACTTCAACACTTATTACAAAGCTACATTAACCAAGACAGTTTGCTACTGGTATAAGGATAGTCATACAAATCAATGGGAAAAAAAATCATACCCAGAAATAAACAACTACATTTAAGACCAGTTTTTGACAAGGGTTCTAGGATCAGTTAATAGAAAAAAATAGTCTCTCAAAAAATGATTCTGGGAAAACTGAATATCCACATGCAAAATAATGAAATTGGGTCCCCAGAAAATTGAATACCTATGTTTACACAAAAGTTCTACACAACTGTTCATAGCAGCATTTTTCATAATAGCTAAGAAGTGGAAACTACCTAAATGTCATTACTGATGAGTGAATAAATAAAAATGTTACATATCCATATAATGGAATAGTATTTGGTAATTAGAAAAGAATGAAGTAGTGATACATGCTACAATATAATGAATCTTTAAAATCTTACGCTAAAATAAAGAAATCCAGTCACAAAGACTAAATAGTATACAGTTTCATTCAGACAAAATGTCCAGAAAAGGCAAATCTAGAGACAGAAGGTAGATTAGTGGTTTCCAGGGAACTGAGTTAGGAGTAAAAGGGAGTAAAGCTGCAATAAACATGGATGTGCAAGTGTTTTTCAACTGAGTGTTTTCCTATCCTTTGGGTAACTCCTGGAAGTAATAAATTAATACAGTAAAGTGGCAGTACATAAAATCAACATACAAAAATCTGTATCATTTTTACATACCAACAATGAAGAAACAGAGTCAGAATTGAAGAAAGCAATCTTATTTGCAATAGCCACATATACAAAAATAAGATACTAAGGAATGAACAAAACCAAGGAAGTGAAAGACCTCTACAAGGAAAACTATGAAAAACTAAGAAAAGAAATGGAAAATAATACACAAAAGTGAAAAGGCATCCCATATTTTTGGATTGAAAGAATTAATATAATCAAAATGTCAATCCTACCCAGATTAATCTACAAATTCCATGCACTTTCAATCAAATTACCAGAGCTATTTTTCACATAAATAGAAAAAAGAATCATACAATTTCTCTGGAACCATAAAAGGTACCACCAAGGGAATACTGTGCAAAAAGGAATAAACTAGGAGGCAACACTTTCTGACCTGAAATATATTGCAAAGCTATGATAATCAAAACAGTATGGTACCAGCACAAAAATAGGCATGTAGACCAATGGAAGAGAATATGGAACCCAGGAATAAACCCCACAACATACAGTAATAGGCTTTAAACAAAACACTACTGGTATTAATTTCTGAATTAATTATTACTCTCTTTTCTTCTTATTACCACGGTTGTGAAAAAACAAGAGTATTATAGTAGAAGAGGCACCAATTAAGAAATCAGATTTGGGTCAGTCTGAGTTTACCTACCAGACACTTGGGCAAGTTGTTTCCTTTCCTTGGGCCTTTTAATCATCTAACAGATGAAGAGAATGAGAGTTAATTTTTTTATTTGAAAGAGAGTTTTGCTATAAGGTGTATATGCTTGCCAGAGGAGACGGAAAGCAAGAAATCACCTCCCTATGGAGGATGCCACACCATACTCCCTTCTCCTCCATTCTCCTCTCAGGATCTTGGGCATGCACACACACACGCCAGTGTGAGTTTAAAGCCACCATG